CCATTTCTTCTCCACTAATACTACTCTCCTTTATTTAACATCCTCTAAGCACATATTCACCTAAAAATTATAATTTTGGCAATTTACATGCTGCTGAATTCCAAAATCTTGCTTATGACGTGGACTTCAATGAATATCTTATCAATAAATATTTATTATTGACAATGCCAAAGGTAAAATCTTTAGAATAATTTATTGTTTAAGCCATTGCATGCAACAATCGATTATTTGAAAGATGTCAAGAATAAAGACTTGGCTAGAGAGGAAGAAGTCAAATAATGATAGCAATTCCTTAGTTTTCAGAAACTTATTCATTAAGGCCAAAACTAATACAATTAATATAATATATTTTATATCCCTCATACAGTAAAAAAAGATTCAATGATGTTAAAAAGGCTTATACTTACCACATATAAGTAGAATACCTTTTCACTTATCAAATTGTTACAATGTTTATAAAATATTCAAATATATAATTTTTTTTATTCTTCCAAATTCCAAATCATTTAAAACTCTTCTAACTTTGAAAAACTCTTGGAAAAATAATATTATTCTACTTAATCCAAAATTAATATTTAAAAATTCTAAAAAGGTTTTTTATTTTAATTATATTTTTTGATTAACAAAATAATCTTGAAAATACTTTATATATACAGTTTTGTGCTTAAAGATCTAATTTTGATCTTAATTCGTAACTGGCCCTCTTCAAGTATTAATTTCTAGCTTTTAAAGATATTATTTGCTGGAAACTAACTTCCTCTCATAGATACATATATTATTCATTTTTCTAATTTATTATTTTTTTTATCTTGTTTATAATCTTGAAAAATAAAAAAAAAGACTTTTTTATAAAAAAATAACATCAATAATAAATGTATTATCTATCTTTTATCCATGTCTTTCTAAAATTTAATTCATAATTTTTTTTCTTTCACCTTATAGCCATGTTATATTATCAATTTTTTTATTATTTATTTATTCAATATTTTTTAGAAATATTTTAAAAATCTAATATTAATTCAAAATAAATCACCTCAATTCAATTGAAAAATTGATAAAAAACATAGAAATCTTCACTAACCTTTCAAATGCAATTTTAAAGATCCTAATCTATTTGAATTTTAATTATCTTTAATTTAAATATCTAATTAAATTCACATTTATAAAATGTATTTAATATAAATATATTTAAAAAATTTCCAATTTAAACCCTTTGATTTTATACAACTCACAATTTTTTCAAGAAGAACTAAAATATGTTAGGTTTCTTCAAAACATAAGAGGGTTCATCTACTTCTCTACACCTTATGATGGATCAAATCTTATTAATTATAATAATATATTTTTGATATGAAAAAGATGGTATTTGATATGGAAGTCATTAATATCGGAATTGAGCATCTAAAGTCAAGTTTTAAAGACATTGAAAGAAAAAACTATTTCAATAAATAGACACATTTTGCTATTGGATTATTGAAATGCATGAATTTTAATGTTTCTTAGATTATTGATGCAATTATCAAAAAAACCTTAACAAATTTTGAAAAAGGTAAAAAAAATATTCTTTTATTTTTTTTAATTTTAATGGATGGTATAGAAAAGATAATATTAAACAAGTACTTATATAATTAGAATAATAAAAATAATCATGTAAAATATCAATTTGAAAAGTATATTTTAGAATATATAAAATCTTGTATTATTTGAGCATGTCAAAAGAATCTATTTCATAATTTAATTGATTAGAAGTAGAATGTAGAATAAAATGTAGGTATTTAATTGAAGAAAATCAAAGATTGCATGTCAAAGAATAATGCTTCATTAGTAGTTGATAATGTAGGTGTTGAAAAAATTTGGAAGAGTTGCAAGTATATGCTTTCAAAGACACCAAAAAAAGAAATAAGATAATTGTGACTACTTGACATTGAGATATATTATATGATTATAGAAATGATATTTATTATGTAAAAATGTTGAATAAGTTTAAATCTTCAATTTTCTTTTTCTTTTTCTTTTTGATGGAATTATTGAAAAACAATTTATAGAACTAAAAGACCAAACTAAAGCTATTGTTAAGGCATGTGGAGCATTACCTTTGAATCTCCAAGTGTTAAGACAATTTTAAGAAAATATAATATTAAGAATATTGATAATGAAAGGAATATATGAAATGAAGCATTAAAAAGATCATAAAAAGCCAAGCCTTTTGATAGACGTGACAATGATGAGAAATTGTAGAAAAGATTAAAAAGTAGTCATGATGCTTTAGTTAAGGATGATAAAAGCATGTTTTTATTCTTTACTTGTATCAAATATGAATGTAAGAGAGTTTCTTTTAGATTTAATATACTTGAGGATTGGCTTACATGAATTTAGATTTTAATTATTAGAGTTAAAATCTTATAAATATATTTCTAATTAAATAAAATAATAAAAATAAATGGTTAAAAAATGGTTAAATATCTCGAAGTAGTATATTTTAACAAGTATAAATCATTGAAGAGACTTCCACCATCTATTGATGAACTAGAAACACTAAAAGAAATGAGCATAGATGAGTGCAATAAATTAAAAAAAAAAAAAAAAAAAAAAAAAAAAAATCATCTATTTGAAAATTTATTTAATTTGCAATAGCTTAATTTGATTGGGTGTGAAAAATTAAAGACCTAGTCACATACAATTGGTAATTTCAAATTTTCAAATATTGGTTTTGGTCAAATGTGAATCATTTTAGATATTAATTGGTGATACTTTTGCAATCATTTATAGACAATTTATTTGAATTTAAAAAACTTTTGTTTAGATTTCTACAAAATATTAAAGACCTTGTTGCAAGCCCTTCAAATCCATCGTCCTGTCGCTGGTGATCTGCTTCGTTAGAGTCAGGTTTGATTTTGCCACCAGCATCTGACTGATGCTCTAACGTCTATCCTTCGTGCGTTTCCTGGGCTGGATTTGACTGCATATTGTCGGATGAGAAGCAGATCAAGGGGGGAGGGGGGGGGGGGGGGGGGTTGCGTATGTAGATTCCGTTAGTGTGCGTTCAAGCAAGGTCTGATTGGCAGTGAGGTGAAATAGTAACTCGGTTTGCACTCATGGGTCGTTGATGTCGGAACAGATATCTGGTAGAGCCTGATCAGGCCTGAGCTTGTCATAGAGTCTTGGGCTCTAATGCTGTGTCTGGAAGACGTTTATTGCACGCTTTGTGGTTTAGTTGGTAGCTTAATGAGTGAAGATGACCCTGTCTTTGGATCCATCAGCGCTTTCAAACTTCGTCTACCATGTCCTGAAGACACTCCTAAAATGGTTGAAGTCAGTTTATTATACGACAGCTCTGAACCCTGAACTCATTCAAGATACAACGAAGGTTACCAGACCTCGTGTACCACATCGTGCAGTTGCCAGTTGTTTGCCTCACGCCAGAGCTGACGCCAACGTTTTCCTATCTTTGAACAGATTGTGCATTGGTCGGTGCGGCTGAGCTCGTGTTATCTGCAGATTATTATGCAGATCAAATAAACTGAAGGTCGAAGAGGTGCACTGGCAATTCTTAATGTTGTTGTGATCAGGTTGACACTGTTAGGCTTGGAGTTGATGGTCTGAGGTGTTTATGAACAAACGCATAGACAGTTCATCGAGGTCTAAATTATCTTTTGTAGATGAGCCTTTTCATTTATCTGAAGAATCTTGAGTGTAGATAAAAGCATATTGTCGGATGAGTAGCTCCACAGAAAGGTTACCTCAATATCAGGCTGCATTGTCTCATTCTTTGCCATTTCCAAACTCAGGCAATATAAGCTCCAAACTTTACCAACCGCCATGTTGAGCCATTCTGCATTCCCTTTCTTCTTGTCACCTTGCAGTACCATTGACAGTGCAATATTATCTGCTTCTGCCCCTTAAGGTTTAGTGCTTGTTGCAGCAGATTTTCTTTTGTGCTGGGTGGCTTAGTTGGACCTGCCTCCTTCGTACTCGATTCCTTTTTTTCGCTAAGCCGCGCTTTTCTTAACCAACTTGCAAAAGCTGCTGCAACAAGCACTAAACCTTCAAGTCCCAGAAAGCTGTCACCTGAGAAAGAAATAAGTGGGGTACGAGGTAAAGCATCAACACCGGTGAAGTAATTCCTCCAATACGACTTGGTGGCAAATCCTACATTTCATTTAATGCTGCTTCCAGCAGTCTATACTTCGTGGTTTTTGCTGGTTTTACAAGTCCGAATGGTTGTGGATGTGGTTCAATGTCGTCGTCAAGAATGTAAACCTCCTCTTGCGTTCTGTTCAGAACCTCCTGTGTTAGAAATAGAGGCGTCATTGATCTCCTCTGGTGCTCTACCGCTAACAACTTTCTCTTGCTTTCTATTTTTCAAGAACCAACTAAGAAACTGTCAACTAGTTTATCACTCTTTAGTTTATCGGCTACTCTGGCTCATGAATGCCGTTTTCTAGTTTTCCTTGAATTTTGGATATCTCTAATCCTAAACTTACACTGGACATAATCCACTAGTTTGGATCATCTACCATAGAAAAAGTATTTAGGGCCATGGCTCTGAGCAGTTAAACAATAGCCCAGAGGACGAGTATGCAATATTCCTCCACTGGAAAACGCTATAGGAGACTAAGGATAGCTTGAAGAATCTGTGAAGACCTGTAAATCTATAATCGCGGCTGTAACCATCGTAACATAAGCGATGTTAAGCTCAGATGAAGCGAGATGCATTTAATGTCAAGTTGCAACGTGGGCAGTCAGATTCCCACTCCCTGCAGCTAAATTTCTAGCCGTCTCCACTTGATGTGTGACAAGACCCTCGAAATCCCACAAGAGGTATACGGAACACACAAACAACAAAAATATGAGAAACACAAATAGAATGAGGTGCAAGAAGCGACGCAACACGGCCAAGGAAGGTGTCTGCCATGCAAGTTTAATCTACAGTTTAAACATAGGAGCGAACCGTCACATCGAACATACACACACATCCGACCACATCACCCTTCACAAGCTTGCGATTAACCGCTCTAAGCAGCATGTCTCTTTTATTCACATTCTCCTTCATTCGTGTACAATGGCCCGGGGCGGCTCCATCGCAAGCCCCAGCGTTCACAAGTATCTTCCATCATTCACATCCCTCTCATTCGTTTCACACATTTCAAAGTCACCCTGCGCATGCTGCAGGATGCTGCCTATTCCTACTTCCGCACTGTAACAAATCCCGCGACAGCGCTCGTTCCCGTTTCTATGTACACGTTCCGCGACCCAGTATGTAGCACACCATCACACCTTCACGCCTCACGCGATCTCTATCTGGCGCACTTGTGGCTTCGGTTCCTGAAGCTTGGGAACTGTCACCGTCAGAACTCCGTCCTGCACCTGCGCCTTCACTTCGTCCGTGTTGGTGCCCTCCGGCAGCCGGAACCGTCGCATAAAACTGCCCTGCGCACGCTCCACCCGGTGCCAGGTATCGCCCTTCTGCACCTCCTCTTTCTTCCTCTCGCCGCTGATCTCCAGCGTCCTCCCCTCCACCACTCGCACTTTCACCTCTTCCTTCTTCAGCCCAGGCAGGTCCGCTTTGAAGATGTGCGCCTCCGGCGTTTCACGCCAATCGATCCGCGTGTTCGCCACGGCCTGCGCGTCGCCTGCAAATCGCCGGGACGGCCCGCTCTCCAGCACCGAGAAAGGATCCCACACACCGCCGAACTCGAAGGGATCGAACACACTGTTGCCACGACCGCCGAACAGCGATAGAGCCATGTCTGCCTCGACCTCTCAAGAACGCAGGACCCGAAGAAAATGCACTCAACCGCGTCTCACCCCAAGCTGCGACCTAAGAGCCTCGGAGTTCAAGGAACGGCCGACCTACTTGAACGAATAACCTCCCACAATGGACGCTCACAAAAATCTCAGCTGCCAAACTATCTCTCAGAAAGCTGAAGACCACAACTGGACACACTTCGTCAACCACACTCCGATCGTAACAACTCAGTCCGTGTTGCAATCAACGATGCGCGCTCTGACGCCGAGAGCCACTATATATACTACTCCAGAATGCACAATGCAAGGGCGGACCGAGGGAATTGCAGAGGGCGTCGGAAAGGAAGGAAGCAAGGAAGAGTGTAGAATTGGAAGCAGATGGTTCCCGAGCATTCTCGACTCACTCCAGGGGACCCTCTCGAAGCCTCCAGGGCCTCCCTGCCTCGCCCGCATCCTTTGCCACTTTGGCATCCATTGTGCTGACTTGGCATCGCCGACGTGGGCACTCCGGGTGTGTTGTTCAGGACGGTGTGAGGGCACTTGGCTGCAGTGTCGACTCCAGTCTACTTCAGCTCTACCGTAGCTCCAGGACCGGTTCAGGGCGTGATACCGTGTGGAAGGGTGGGTCCCTGACTCCGTGGTTGGTTGGTGCAGCAGAAGCCCAAAGTAACAATAAGGAATATGTTTGACATTGGTTTCAGAGTGATGTTCACATTCTTGTGAATGACCAATACATGCCCCAGTGACTGATGAGTACATGCCCTAGTGAATGATGGACTATGTACTAATGAGGATCGATAATAGCAATTTCTTTATATATATATATATATATATATAGATATAAGAAGCATAGTTATTTCATAACACTTGAGATGTTAAAATGCTTTTTTTTTTTAATTAAATATATAAATATATATAGTAAAATTTTATGTTTTAGAAAGAACACATTGGATGGAAATATTTTGAATAGAAGACATTAGAAAGATGAAGACACCTTAAAGTTTATATTATGTTTTTGATAATTCAAAAAGACAATATTTCAAATCACATGATTGTGTATAATTGAGATTATAGATATGTTTAGTTTTTTTTATTTTAAGCCATTTTCATTTAGAACTATTGAGGATTTGGTTTTGTTATAAGCAAATTGTGAGAAACAAATTCAATGATGTAAATTTTGTGCTTCTTGGAAACTACTCCAAATCCAATTCTATAGGTAAATATTATTTTTTAGACCATCACCTATAAAATTGAGTCTAGGGTAACATTCATGTTCCTTACAAGTTATCCTTTCTATTTAAAGGTACAGTTTGTAAAAAAAATATCATTTTTGAATATATATATCTTTTAGATTTCAAGAATTTGCATCATTATTTGGAAAAGAAAGTGAAGTGCAAACATTCTTGATACAACTAAGCTCTCTTGTATAAAACTTGGCACAAACAAAGATTTATCTTCTTTTTTACTTGGCATTATAGAATGTATTATCTTACTTTAAGGTAATGAGTCTTTACTCGGGCTTGTCATTTTCAAGTTACCCTCACAACCCTTAGGTTACTAAAATAGATATACCTAAAAAAATTAGTGTATTTAAAAATTGAATTTGAATGAGCTCTATTACAAATATATATCCTTTATAACTTTCAATTTTGATGTAGTTTTTCCTTGGACATAAAAATTGTTAGTGTGGAATATGTTTTACCATTGTTGGTGAAATTGAAGTCATTTATCTTCTCTTATGTGAACAATAATTCTTCATGTGATGCAAATAAATCTTGTTTGTAAGAATTCTTTGGTCTCGATTAAGTTCCAAGAATAACATCTGAATATATCTTGGTTGACCCATTTTAAGTTATCTTCCAAATGCACAAGGTTTGGAATTATGACTCCATGTACATGAAAATTTTCATTCTTTCATACAGCTGGTGGTATGGTTGAAAGAACATTAGACATGCTAAAATGCATTGCCTGCAAATACCAATGTAGATCCTCATTCTGTTTGTGTTGTCCGTGTGTACCACGTACCTCCTGGGGGATTGCCACGCCCTTGTCACACGTCGAGAGGAGACGGTTGGCATTTTAGCGCAAGAAAGTGAGAATCTGAGCATTCACATCAGATGGATTCAACGTGTGACTGTAAATGCACCAAAGTGTGACTGTAAAATGGCTTGACATTGTTGATGTTAAGATGGTGGCACTTGTGTTTATATCTGCGAAGGTCTTCCCAGATTCTACAAGCAATTCTTAGCTGCCCTGTAGCCTTGTACACTGAAGGAACATTGCATTCTTGTCCTCTGTGGCTTCTGTTTAACTGCTCAGATTTATGGCCCAAATTGTACTTCTGTTGTAGATCATACAATCTGGTTGGTTATGTCTAGAGGAAGTTTAGAATTAGATTCACCGAATTTATGAGAAAAAATAAATATAAATAAATAAATAAATAAATAAATAAATAACAGATAATTGGCGTTCATTAGCCAGAGCAGCACATGAATTGAAGAATGATAAACGAGTTCACAGTTTCTTAATTGGTCCTTGAATAATTGAAACCTAAAGTTGTGAGCGATAGAGCACAGGAGGCGGTAAGTGACGCCTCTAAGCCCAGACAGGAGTTTCAGAAGATGTAAGAGGAGGTTTACATTCTTGACGATGGCATTGAACCACATCCAAAACCATTCGGACTTGTAAAACCAGCAAAAACCCACGAAGAATAGACTGCTGAAAGCAACATTAAATCAAGTGGAGGAGGTCAAGAGATTTGCCACCATCACGTATTGGACGGATTACTTCACCAGTGAAGATGCTTCACCTCGCACTCCACTTATTTCTGTCTTGGGTGATAGCTTTCTGGGAATGGGAGGTTCAGTGCTTGTTGCAGCAGCTTTAGCTGGTTGGTTGAGAAAAAGCGCGGCTTGGTAAAAGAGGATTTGAACACTGAGGCAGGTCCAACTAAGCCTCCTAACACTAAATGTGCAAAATTACAGTTGAGATTTTAAATATATTCAAAAATATGGATAAAGTTCCATTCAAAGGACAAAATCATATTTGTCCTCATCAAGTTAATGATTCTCACCCTAATTTGGAGATTTCAAACAAACCCTCCAAGCAAAGAGATCTATCCCTCTCTGTTTCAATGTAAGATGTACACAAGGTCTGTCGCTTCAACAACCTCAGTAGGAAGAGGATTGGTGTACACGAAACCAAGGCCGTCGTGTTTCAACCCAGTTATTCGGTAGAGACCCAGGGCCAAGGCACCGTGATCCCTGAGCATCCCGATGAAAAGCTCACTGAAGGTAAAACCAACAAAAGATTTGGGTACGGGAATCTGGCCAAGATCCCGAATAATAGTGTCAGAAGCGCGCTCTTCATTTGTCTCCTCATCATATTCAAGGACTTGACCTCCACTTATAAGCTGGTCCACGATAGCCACTGTTTGACGATTGAAAAATGTCGCGTACCTGCAAGTTAATTTACACTTGCAAGAATTAGCACACTGCAAGAACAATTTTTGTCATGAAACTCGAGAGAAGAGATTGAACAATATGCAGCTATGTACTTGGGCAATTCTGCATTACATATGATGGTGGGTACTCACAAGAGGACACCGAGGGCAGCCGGACAGAATGCTTTCCCACCAATGTAGGGAGGAGCGAACTGGAAAGTAGCAGATCGGTTGCGCAGATACATTTCGCTGTCGAAGATGCGGCGATCGAATAACAGACGTGGTTGGAGGTACTGAATCTCTGTTTCTTGCTGAAGTTCAACGATCACACGATCCTTAGCTGTTTCATGTCGCAGCAATCTCTCCACCTGCACGATAACCCGATTCAATACCATGTTAATATCGGCAGAGTGATTTTAAACATCAACAAATCACCACGTAATTTAGCACTTTCGAAAAGAGGCAGAGAGAAGGCTAATAACTGTGGCTGCTATGAAGACATTGTTGACATCAAGCGTAAAGGTTTGAGAAGGCGCCGAACGGTCCTGGTCGTCAGCGTGTTCTCCAATGGATTGCTCCAACTGGACACCTTGCGTTAGGATGACTACCTTCTCTGCTTGAATAACACCTGCACGTAACAAGTCTAGCCCCAAGCTAGGGGAACCCTTCACAAAGTAAACATCGTCAAAGAAACCAACGTTGCCCCAGTCTGATTCAGATGGAAAATTAGGATGTAAAATCACTACAGGAGAATTTGGTAGACCGGGCGTTCGAAGCTGGGAAACAAAGTAGAATAGACTGCTAGGCCATTTCCCTTGTATGCACACTAGGATGTGGGGAACTGGGAGGTTCACAAGTTTCATCGTGCGGCGTTGCAGGTTTTCCAAAATTTCAGTGGCATGACGTTCCAGAATTGCTGGATCAGGTTTGTAGTTCTGCTCCTGGGGAGGCCAGCTCATCATAACATTGATTGCATCCTCTAGATTACAGATAGCTCCACGTGGTGTCTTGGCAGAGCTCTTCGAATCCGGAGGAAACGAAACACGGCGATGAATTTTTAACGAATCTGAGATTTCTTCAAAAATCTTTGCTTTCGACAATGATTTATTAGTGTCTCTAGTCTGGTGGGCACTTATGACTTTCATCTCCGCCTTCCCTGCAGAGACCTGCGAAATAATTCCTTGCTTTCGGGCCTTACCATGTGAACTTCCATCCTTGTCACCTTTCACCAAACAAGAGTGAGAAGTGAGGCCGTAATGCCGACTCACACCAGTGTCACCTTTCCGTGAACTATCTTCTTTTGGGACAGATGAATCTTCTGATTCTTTCGCATTTTGGTCGAAAATAGCAATTTTGAGTTCGTGATTTAACTGCGACTTGTCATTTAATTCCATATCCGAAAACTTTCCTTGCTTCACTACATCAAGAAGCTTACGGAATTCCTCGGGATACGAATCCTTCGTCAACCCTGACTTCACATGAGGAGCGCAAAAAAACTGGAGCAATCCCGGGCGACGATGCACAATCGTATCGAGTTTAGAAATCTTTTCAGCTGTTTTGAGATCCGGGGATAGCACTAAGCCTACATCTGATGGACGTAATACCCTTCCTCTTGGATATAAGACAACGTCGCGAAACTCTTCGCCATCTTCTTCATGACGGACGTCTATTCCAAATAGTATGACGCTGAATTTTCGGTATACAAGCTCTGCAGCCTGCCGTTCGAAAGCGCTCGTTAGTCACAATTAAGAGCAGTTGCCTTATCAGAACACAAGAGCTAACAATCGTAATTATGTGAAAAAATTCAGCTATTATATGTACGCACCTGCTCAAATGTAAGTTTTTCTTCGTGAAATAGATCCGGTAAAATCACTGGAAATACTTCTTGGTGGAGGCCGTGCATGTATTTCATCATCCAATGATCTTTCAAAGGTTTCGAAATGTCCAGTCCGGAGCGGAATAGATTGATTACAAATGTTGACAAGCCTCTGATATGGCAGCTGTTGAAGAGCACCAAAAATTTTAAGTCAATTGCATATCGAGTGGGAGTAAAAGCCGTTTAAAAATAGCAAACAAGTCAATAATTTGCGTGGAAAGAGCAGTAGATAGAAATCACCTGCGGGCTAAGAGTTTAAATCGAGTGGGGTCCAGGCAAATGATCTCGATTCCGTCTTTGGTATCATCCCAAATAGCATCAGCAGCCTTCTCGGGTTGCAGCAACTCTACTATCACACGTACTTTGGACCCGCAATGACGATGAACAGCCAGTGTTCTTACTATTTGAGCAGCATCTTCTGCTGCAGGATCCTACAAGTCGCAAAGCATGAATTAAAAAGACAAACGCACAAGATAAAATCATGAGATAATGGCCTTGTAAACTGTGAACGAATGCTGGCACACGGGCATTACATCTCGGATCTTAATAGAAGTGGAAGCACACCAAATAGACGTATTCCTAGGAAACTGTAATCTGGCTGCAGAAAAAGCATTCATGCAGGACGCTGACAGATTTTAAAGCAATTTTTTACCTTGGCTTGAGCATCAGCAAGGAGATAAACTGCTGAGGCCACTTTGGCACTGACGCGGTCAAGGTCGGAGTCCTTGATGGGAGTGCCCTGGATGAACTCCACTCTATCCTTGTAGTGCATCAATAACGACTTCAACTCGAACCTGAAAGTCCCGGCTTTCCACTTCATCACGAAGCTTACACGCAATAAGATTTTGACATGATTCTACATTCAGATACACAATGCGGAGCTTATAACAATGCATGGCTACTTTGAAATTATGAAAATACTTACGACGGCTTGAAAGGAGCCATAATAACGATTTGTAGAGGAAAAGCCCACATGTCTGCAGCAGAGCCCAGCAATGCAACCAGTCAGCTAGATACACAGGATGTTTATCCACCAAATTAGTGGCTTGTTGTCTTGATTCTAAATCTGAAGCTAATTCCGGATATGATCCGATACCGTCCGTTAGGAACCCATGGTTTCAAGTTACTTTTGACCACTCTTCGTGTGAAATTAGCCACATTGTTTTCGAAAAAGAAGAAGAAAAAGGAAAAAAAAAAAATGAATACACCATGGTAGGATGCTGACCATTCTGAGTTACCTTTCTCGTGAGTAGGATGATAAAATTCGGCCAAAAAAGCTTGCACTGTCTCAAATGATATGTTGCCACTAACAATGAAAAAACGTGAACCTACGACCTTGCGCACATCAAAAGCGCCTCCATATGGCCTGCATCAGCTAAAATTTTCATCAAACAATAAGCATGAAAGTAGAGTAATACCAAGTTCAAATTCAAGGAAACATACAAGTGTCCATGTAAACATAGTGACGAATCTAAACTCAGAGCATGAACTGAGAAACATTCCAGCAGCATAAAGCATGTCCCATCTTAAAATTTGTTACTACAAGTATTCAAGGCGGAAGCATCAAGATCTAGAACTGAAAAAGCACCTTTTGGAGGCAAGATGCAAGATACGATTGATCTGAGGAGGTAGAATCACCAAAGCACTGATAATCAGTACAATCAAGATAGCCCTTCCCCAGTTCGACTTGGGTGTGATATCGCCATAGCCCACTGTCGACATCTGTCATATGAAAAAGTAGTTAAGCTTGAGTAAGAAATGGAATGGTACACGGAACGTTTTCGAGTTTAAATGAACGATGGTAGAGTCAATCAGCGGTATAAGTTTGTGTACCCACAGTAACAATCATTAACCAAAAGGCGTCGAAGAAAGTCATGCAGCCAGTATCACTGCAAGCATTCTCGTCCTTCACACTCTGCTTAGTCATCTTGTTGTCAACCCATTGCAGAACTCCCGCCGCAATAAACACTGCCGACATGCATACCACAGCACATAATTATAAGGATGTTATTGAGTTCTGGGCTAGATTGATAGAAACGACTTTCGAGGGTATTTGTGAGGTGTATCAAACGTTAGGACATGCATCAATCAATTTGACGATAGCTGCAAGGTGCTAATTAGAAAAGGCATCGAAGAGAAGAATGATGCACCAACCAACTCCAAACGTGTACATCACAAGTATAAAAATATGCTCCTTGATGGCACCGCCGGTCCGTCCACCCACATGGGTGATCAGAGGCATGATCCTATATAGAAACGTACAATATTTCTGGTAAGAAACCCTCAATTCAAATCCCTTCAAGGGTGCGTAAAAAGCGGCAACTCAGACTCGATCAATCTAACCCAGAAACTCCCTCACCTTAACGCCCGAAAGAAGAGTAGTATACCAGCAGCACCATTGTCTATAGGGCTGCGCAGAACAGGATTAAAAAAGGTGCTTTCATCAGTCACCTTTACGAATCTTATATTTCAATGTATTAAAAAATAGCAGAGGCTCCGCCTCAAAGAGCTTAACAGCATGTGACAAAAATGATACACTATACCCATCTTTACCTCCAATACAAGATGATTGGAAGAGTGCTCACAAAGTCGATAACTCCACGTAAAGAAAAAATGTAGTAAAGCCTCACCGGAGAACTGAACATGAAAATTGAAGGCAATTTGAAAATGTGAGAATGAATAAAAGGTTTACTTTCCGATTAGTCCGATGTAACAATACAGCTATTGATATTTCAGCAGATCGTATCATCTGCACAAATATTTTCTTTTAGAGTGCATGCATGTAAGAACAAGGTACCGTCTCGAAAAAAAACATAGAATAAAATACAATTTGGAATATTAAGTTTTAAAAGTTGTTTTGTTATGACTGTTGCGTACCTGTACACGTTCAAAATGTAATCAATCACGAAAAAGAGTCCACATACAATTTCGGCCAAACGCTGCCAATGTGGTCGGTCGCCAGTTCGGTATCTGCAAGGAGACTAATGACCCGGATTACGAGGCCCATTCTGTAAAAACGAGGAACAAATGCTTCCAGAAGCACAGAACTAAGATGAAGTTTCAGTGCATTTTGAGTATGAGTTGAAGGAGTATTGTGAAAGGGCGAGAGTTACGTAGTCAAAATGTATACGACGACGGATATGATAGCAGCTAGAAATTCTATCTGCAAATGTGGGAAATGTCAGTAAGCATTACAGCTAATATAATCTTTCTTGCAGAGCTAATATTCAGAGACAATGATGCGATACTCATCACAACACAAGCATGACAAATCTTCAAAAACTGGTCAACACAAACGGAATTCACCTTTGTGGTTGCACAGAGGAATTAATTGAACACACTGCAAAGAGACTCGAGAAAAATTAGTCAGTAATCATACCCATACAAGCATGGGCCGCAATGGCCATGAGCGAAGAGCAGTTCGTACTTTTATCGAAAATGGCACTTCACCGTGTAGAAATAAGTCGTGATACGTCTTCAGCACCTCCTACATGCCACTCCTTACAGGTTTTTACAAAACTGAGGGTCAAGAATTCAACAGGATCATAATACTACACAAACTTCGGTCAAGTACAAGTTGCGCACATATCAGCAGTTTGCTTCTACTAGTGTGATGCGAAAACCGGCGAGAAATTAGTACATACTATGTGAACATTATCCCGAGTAGTATTCTGGACCATGCGGTATTAGATGGATAAATATTGAGAAGGTCTTGAGAGGGTTTTTAACAAATACTACACATTGAAAAGAGTACCTTAGAAGCTTTGATATTCTTGCCCTTAGACTGTCTCGAGAGCCACAATAAGATTTCATGCAACATGTCCCAAATGGAGACATTGGGCATTCCGAATTTCAAGCGTCCACTACTTGTCTTTGTCATCGAATGCAGAACCTTTTCTTTCGCCACCGGTTCTTCATCGCTCGTCCCTTCTTCGTTCACGGGCGTGCACTGGCCACCTGGTGAGATTCGTATCCTACAAAAGTGTCGCAAAATTACGATTAAAACCAAACTAGGTGGGGAGCGAATGTCAAATTCACGGGGTACAACGGTCAAGGGTTTGACAATGAACAAACAAATGCAGGACACATCCAGCTTAAAAATGAAGTGAAATGTTGAACGCGAATTTTAAAAGTGGATTCAGATACTTCGGAAATAGGAACGTACGAAAATCGCGCAAAGAAATCAGTTCATGAGATGTCTATGACCATCTGAAAAACGCGATGTAAATTATGATCACTGTACCTGCGAGAATATAAGTTGTGCTGATCATTAGTGTTTTGTGAGATATCGTAGAGGGAGGGTACCGAAATTTCGAGAGGGTCCGGTCCTTTTGTTTTCGCCTTAGACTCCCTCCTCCTGCAATTTAGCAACATTCGGTTCAATTAAACCAATTCTTTCAGATGTAACATTGAATGCAGCTAGCAATCATGCTTCGTTGAGCAACCGGACTTCTATATTTACAAGAAGTCCTTTAGATGCCATTCAACAGCAAAACACGAATACCACAAAGCACGTTCCAACATAGGAGAGCAGCGCAGAAATTCCAACAGTTAAGGGAAGGTACGAAAATTAATACAGGCCCTACCAGTACAATGAGTAAGGGATCCAAAGATCGAACAAAAAATTATAATTTTGCAGAAAGTGATAGATCAGCCCCGCTTCACGAAGAGTTCGGCTAGAAACAGAGAAACAAAATTGGCATGGTCTACAGGGTTGATTTTCGAGTTAGAGCATCGGTTTACCACTTTTCGTGCTTTAATTTTTCCAGAAAATATTAACACATTCAATTGCGGAAATTAATGAAGAGATTTTGACGAGAAAAGATATGGGATTTTGGCAAGGTAAGCTGTGGAATAGATACCTCAGCCTCCTATGTAGCATCGATCCATTCCTGGAATTTCTGTTGAAGGTTGGCATCCTGGGCGCCATGTCGTCGAACGTAAACCCCTCTTGACAAGAAAAGCTCGGGTTTTCTATTCCTCCTGCTCCTCTTCTTGACGTACTGCACATTCAATCCATCGGAAAATTCACATAATTGAGTCAAAAACTTAAAATTAGAACAATTAGCACGACACATTTTTAATAAGAAGAATGGATCATTCTCCCGGTTCAGCCAAGGAGGGTCAGCGCAGAGAGAAGGGTACATGATACACGTGGTCCGATAGGAATTGCGTTCCTGAATGGCAACTGAACTGCTAACCGCCTGCGTTGCACTACTGCAATCGAAACTCGCAATCGATTCAATGATTATTCAAAAGCTTCATTATACTTGAGCTTCAAAGCTGAGCTCGTATGTCACAAAGTTTCCGTGTCGAACCCGTGAATGGCACAAGTGACACAAATGCCTTCATAAGAAATAAAACACCTTCAACCGAAACACATAAGAGCTTACAGCTACTTTCCCCAGCGCACCAATAAAACAAAACCAACCATTGCAGGTGTTGCGCTTCAAGTTCCAGCCCTTCTCCCCCATTCATACACCATCCTCACTGAAATCACTAAATTCCGGATCAAAGTTTTGAATGCAGAACATCTACAATCGTTAACCTGCACTACTCTCTTCACGAAAGAAAGGAAAGAGTGCTGAAAAGGTTTGTGACAATATCCTCAACGAAATTGGAGCACACACTTATTCAGCTAGATATTCTCTTTGAGTTGAGCTGTCCTAATTACCAAGGAAACCTCTCACAATTTACTGGGTTACTGTATTATGCGCATGAATTATTAAATGCCAAGTTCACAAAAATGAAAAGAGGATTAAAAGACAGGTAGCGAGAACACAAGGCGACTACTGAGACAGGGCGAAACCTCGCACTGGCGCCTGGGCCCATGTACTTATACCCGACCCGCAGATTCCCATCCCAATTCACGATACATGCACACACACACACACACAAAACAGTTCCACCCTAAGATCCAAGCCTCCGGCACCACAACTTACACGAATCTAACCGCCGCGGTCCATGATTGCCCTCCATCCCGACGACTTCTTCAAGGGTCCTAATTCATTCAAACAATTCAGACCAGAGAGACATGTGAGACAGATTCCACTGTACACACATCTCACGCGCTTAAATATATCAGGAGGAATCTGCAAATTGTGCACCGTCGTTGCACATGTATCTCGGCCTTGACGTGGACTGGATCGATTTGCGGTGAGCCATTACTCTTTCACTCCCATCGCTGGCAAACCAAAATGAACTTCGAGATGTTCTGTCCATTGCCCGTCACCTGATCGCCTTTCACGTCAAATTCGCATTTCAAAGCCGAAAATCTGGCGCCATCGGGCCCAGTCCCGCGTAAAAAAAATTGGAATGGCACTTGGAGCCGCCTTTCATGATGACCACGACTGCGACCCCAACGGCCAAGACCTCCCCTTATTCTCCCGAGTGGCAACGGCGTGGATCCTTCCAACTAAATGGATAAATTATTCCCCCTCTGCCCTGTTTAGAATAGCAGTGGCTACAGAGTTTAGGGTTTAGAGTTTAGTAGTCTACAGAGTTTTAGGTTTAGAGTTTAGTAGTCTACAGAGTTTAGAGTTGAGGATTGAGTGGACGTTCTGTTTACTTCTTCCCACAAAGAATGTCGTTCTAAAGTGGCTCTTTTCACTTCTGTGGGGTGAGGCAATGCTGAGAGCTGCACTGCTTCTCAATCCCTTGAAATGTGTGCATTTGTTCCTCTTCTTAGACGAAGGGACTAATATCCTTCCTCTTGCCCACTTTTATTGCTCCTCCTCCTGCCCATGGTTCCTGTCATACTCATGTCATCGCTCTCTTATTATACGTTTTTAGCTGGACGTCACCCTTCCAATGTGTAAAGCTAGCACAGCATGTCCAGAAAAGGAGTTGACTGAAAAGTAACAGCAGTGGTGACTTTATCAAGGAAAATTCAATAACAACAAACAAAAAATTATTATTTGTTAAATGACTCACGGTTTCGAGGATTCCTTGTTTCCAAAATGGAATTGTGAGTGTGTTTGTAAGCGCACACAACCAAGCGTCTTGAAATATTTAAGATTAGATGCATGACCTAGTTTGCCAATGGTCACCAACCCTGATTGTTGCTTATTTGGGCAAATTGTTTCTGGACATGTACTAGTTTCACACATTGAGGGAGTAATGTCTCGTTTACAAATAATTGTTTATGAAACTAGGACGCCTTTTTTTCTTTTTATTTGCTTTATTGTTGTAATTATTTTTATTTTAGAATAAAAAATGTATTATACCAAGTTTATATTTTATTTTGAAAATAATTAAAATACTTATATTATTTATTCCTATGTTGTTGTGTATTAATGAAAACATTCTTATTTAAAAAGCAAAGCAAAAGATCCTTGTGTTTATCCTTTGCTCTATTGCTCCAAGTGGATATTTTTTATGAGAGAATCGCAACAGATGTTCCATATCCTTCTTAATACAATATTGTATAATAAAAAAGGAAGCTTTGTATTTTAAAACATCTTATTCTTCTCCCTGTCAATGCAAAACATTTTAGGCATTCTCCAGCCTTACAATAAAAAAATCCTCAAATAATATCTACAAGAAACTGAATCTACCATGATTCCATTCTTCTAAAATATTCCAACTATTATCTTTGCTCTGTCGTACTCTACCACTTTGCCATCCACTAAACTGTTAGTTCTCGTACACCTCGAGGGATATCTTTGATCAATTCGTCTATTTTTTTTTTGTTATTGGAGCCTTTGTCAAAGTGTAAAGTAACACACCATCAATTATAAATCAGTTGAGTGGAATCTACACATCAAACAATTGATCTGGCAATTCAAAGAAGCTCGACCAAGGACAGACACAACTTAAATGCCACTCAAGAACATTGTTAAACGCAGCACCATTAAAACTTATCCTCAAAGCAGACAACACTAGTTGACGTTCATCCACTGAAAATGGACCTGACAAAATTAGCCTCCTCCATCTTGCCAGTGTCAATCGTTGTTCATAAAAGTTGAGGTCACGGAGACTTACGGTATGTTTCGTCTGGACACCGCATACATGCTTGTTACTCGTTCATGAATATCTCCTCGTAGCGGTGGAACATTGAAACAGGCCCGAGTTGAATTGTTCATCACTGTCTGTTCCGTGTCCTGCCTAAAGCCACATCCCTACCCACTCAAATAGAATAGGTCGCTGGGGAGCAATCACAGAGAGTCCATTAGAAATTTGTAAGTTTCTCTTCAAAGGTAATGGTTGTGGATCATTGAATAATCTGAAGTGCAGATTCTTAGCACCGAAGCATATTTTAAAGCAGTAAAATATATGTTCAGCGAAAGTTTACCGCCGGTTCAGCGGTTATTTCATGAAGGAATACTCAAGAACGAATTACCATTTATGGACAAGCCAAGTAAAGAAGCATAGAAACTTCTGCATCAAGTGGTAATAAAACTAAACAATCTGCATAGATACGCCGTGAACATCGTTAAAAATCGGATAGACTGATTACTATTACTACGTTAAATCCATCACACAAATATCAACTTGATCATCTGCAAAATCATCTGCAAAATCATTTGCTGCACGTTTGTGTTTCAGCATAGGGCAAGGGCAAGTGGAAAATGTTTTCATTGCATCAACACAACAAGTGTTGCCTGAGCTGCAAGAATACAAGATCAAGCACATAATGGAAATAGCACAAGGCTAACAGATATATCCCTCTTGGTGAGTCAAGATACTACCATGTTGCACAGGAATGAAGGTCAACCTCTATTAGACTAATATGACTATATGGTAAAAGATAATAAGATGGATCTTATTATAAAAGAGCCAAGTTAAAAAATAAAGTAGAAAAATATAGATAAAAGATAGGAAGGTAGTAAAACTTTTAGTAGTAATGCAATCTTTTTTAAAAAGTGACTTCTATTTACTTTGTAGGGCCATAAATAAGGCAAAATAAAGTAGATTGGAAAAACAAATGATATAAGCATCTTTAGGAGGAAGTTAAGAGTAAGGTTTAGCAAAAATTACCTAGAAAAACTAGATATTGATACTAGGAGAGGACCACTTACCAACTAGGGCTGAAATCAAACCCTAAGGTACAAAACCAAGCCTTGACAATGATTCAAAGGTCTTTAGGTAGATCAGAGAGTGAGATTAGAGAGCAGACTTGATAGGATTTTGATAAGCATTAGATTTGGATGATTTGAATTTGTACTGAATTTGTAAGAGCTTTGCAAAGTCAAGGTTTGTTTTGGGTGACTCTGGATTTGTAAAATAAAATAGGAGATACTTTTTGGAGAATTCCATAAGTTTGGCAATAGATCTATAGATGAAATTTTGAGGATTTGTGGGTTTAGATGTGTTCAATATATGCTATAAGTTTAAGCTTGATCAAAGAATTGGATCAAGGATTATTGAGGTTTAAGTGGATCAGGGTCTCAAAAAGTAGAGTTTTAGGTCTAGTGAGATTTTTTAAGATTTCTTGCAATCTATTAGTTGGATTGGAGTGAAAGTTATGTGCATGGATTATAGACTTTTTTTCTTACATACATGAGAATTTTGAGATCAATTGAATAATTCAATAAAGAAATATTGGCATTGAAAATTTAACATTTAGATTGGAGAAGGAGGCCGGCCAACATTTTAGCAAATATTAGGATCGATCTTCTTTTTGGTGAGTTTGATCTTCTTCAAAAAATTTGTATTTTTTTTAAACTTAATTATTAAAAGGTGTATAAATTTTGAGTTAAAATCAACACTTCATTCATTAGTTATGGAGGTTTAAATCTCCTATAGGAATTACTTGAGATTATTTAAGATTTGATTAAGGTATGTTTAAGACTTGATTAGGATTTGATTAAGATTTGGTTAGGATTTGATTAGTATTTGGTTAAGGTTTGTATAGGATTTGATTAGGATTTATTTAGAGTTTGGTTAGGAATTGTTTAGGATTTGATTATGGTTTGGTTAGGGTTTATTTAGGATTTGATTAGGATTTGTTTAGGATTTGGTTAGGATTTGATTAGGATTTGGTTAAGATTTATTTAGGATTTTTTAGGATTTTACTAGGATTTATTTAGGATTTGGTTAGGATTTTATTAAGGTTTGATTAGAGTTTTCTTAGGTTTTGACTTAGATTTAATTAAGATTTTTATTTTAGTATATTTTTGAATTTCTATGTTATTTCTTTATAATTCTTTAAAGGGTGTCTAGGAATACTTTGTATTTCTTATATAATTTCTTTGAAATTTTGATTGAATTTGATCGATGTTTGATCATATTTGCTAACCTTTAATTATAATTTGGTTAAGAATCTATTAGAATTGTTAGGACTTATTGTTGCAATTTTTCTTTTATCTTCTATAGGCGGGTGCCTAGTGTATTCTCAAGCCAAACACCATGTAATACGACACTACTGTGGACAATGACATGCTACTTGTATCAAGCTCAGTACATGATCAGACAACAAAGGCAGCAAAAGAAGATGAAAAGAAAGAAAAAAAAGAAATACAACATTGTTAGGGTAGAGAGAATTTGCCTTAAAAAAGTACTGGGCTTTTAGCTATCACTAATTATTTAACCAAGCCTTAAGATAAAAATCAAAACACCAAGTTTATATATAAAATTATCCTTATAGGACAATTACATCAATGCATAAGCCCTAAGTACCAAAGATCACTAAAAATGTAATAAAAATATTATAAAACCTTAACTAACCTTAAGGTGAATTTTTTCCAAACTTCAACGGTTCATATTTCATGATTAGATAGTCTAAACAAACAAAAAATTTATATTTAGTATCGATGTACTTTTAACAACTACTACAACAAAATTCAATTGTAAA